CTGGCCAGTATTGTGGCTGGTCAATCACAGCATGTTAGTTTAGAAAAAATATGTTTTTTTGTCCTTCTCCCTGCTTCTTCCATGATGTATGGTGGACTACCCAGTTGACTGACATCCATAGTGGTCCAATAAATCAGTCAGGTGGGTGGCCAGTTAGTGCGAATGAGCGAAACTAAGATGGCGGCGGCTCCGTAGTGGTCCATTAATGGTGCTCTATTTGTTTGGTGGTCCCATCACAGCACTCAATCGTTTAGGTGGGCGGGATGTTAGTGTGAATGAGCACAACCAAGGTGGTGATGGCTCTGTAATGGTCCAATCATAGCATGCTATTGGTTTGGTTGGCCAATCACAGCACATCCCACAGTGGGTGGGATTTTACTGAAGAAACAAAAATGCTTTGGCATCCACTTTGGATTATTTAGACTTGGGCTTTTCTTTGAGTCAAGAACAGATAGAGGTAATTAAGTTTATTTAGAAAAAGGATGAATTTGAATCTTGTTGACGGAGTCTGACGGACTGCCTCATGACTAACATCCCTATTTCTGAGTGTGTCACGTTGTTTGTTGCCCAATAGCATGTGGAGACAATTTGAAAGAAAACAATAGATCCCGACCCACGACTGAGAGCCGTCAGTGGACCATGGCCAGACTATATTTTCACACACATATATATACAGGTGCTGGCCAGTAAATTAGAATATCATCAAAAGGTTGAAAATATTTCAGTAATTCCATTCAAAACGTGAAACTTGTACATTATATTCATGCAATGCACACAGACCAATGTATTTCCAATGTTCATTACATTTAAATTTGATATTCATAAGTGACAACTAATGAAAACTCCAAATTTGGTATCTCAAAAAATTAGAATATTCTGAAAAGGCTGAATATAGAAGACACCTGCTGCCACTCTAATCAGCTGATTTACTCAACACACCTGCAAAGGCCTTTAAAAGGTCCCTCAGTCTTGTTTTGAAGGCACCACAATCATGGGGAAGACTTCTGACTTAACAGCTGTCCAAAAGACAATCATTGACACCTTGCACAAGGAGGGCAAGACACAAAAGGTGATTGCTAAAGAAGCTGGCTGTTCGCAGAGCTCTGTGTCCAAGCACATTAACAGACAGGCGAAGGGACGGAAAAAATGTGGTAGAAAAAAGTGTACAAGCTCTAGGGATAACCGCACCCTGCAGAGAATTGTGACGACAAACCCATTCAAAAATGTGGGGGAGATCCACAAAGAGTGGACTGCAGCTGGAGTCAGCGCTTCAAGAACCACCACGAGGAGACTCATGAAAGACATGGGATTCAGGTGTCGCATTCCGTGTGTCAAGCCACTCTTGAACAAGAAACAGCGCAAGAAGCGTCTCGCCTGGGCCAAGGACAAAAAGGACTGGACTGATGCTGAGTGGTCCAAAGTTATGTTTTCTGATGAAAGCAAGTTCTGCATTTCCTTTGGAAATCAAGGACCCAGAGTCTGGAGGAAGAGCGGAGAAGCACAGAATCCACGTTGCATGAGGTCCAGTGTAAAGTTTCCACCGTCAGTGATGGTGTGGGGTGCCATGTCATCTGCCGGTGTTGGCCCACTCTGTTTCCTGAGGTCCAGGGTCAATGCAGCCGTCTACCAGGAAGTTTTAGAGCACTTCATGCTTCCTGCTGCTGACCAACTTTATGGGGATGCAGACTTCACCTTTCAACAGGACTTGGCACCTGCACACAGTGCCAAAACCACCAGCACCTGGTTCAAGGACCATGGTATCCCTGTCCTTGATTGGCCAGCAAACTCGCCTGACCTTAACCCCATAGAAAATCTATGGGGTATTGTGAAGCGGAGGATGCAATACGCTAGACCCAACAATGCAGAGGAGCTGAAGACGACTATCAGAGCAACCTGGGCTCTCATAACACCTGAGCAGTGCCACAGACTGATCGAGTCCATGCCACGCCGCATTACTGCAGTTATTGAGGCAAAAGGAGCCCCGACTAAGTATTGAGTGCTATACATGCACATTCTTTTCATGTTCATTCTTTTCAGTTGGCCAACATTAGAGAAACAAACATTTTTTCATTGGCCTTTAGAATATTCTAATTTTCTGAGATACCAGATTTGATGTTTTCATTGGTTGTCACCTATAAATATCAAAATTAAACGTAATAAACATCGGAAATACATTGGTCTGTGTGCATTGCATGAATATAATGTACAAGTTTCACGTTTTGAATGGAATTACTGAAATATTTTCAACCTTTTGATGATATTCTAATTTACTGGCCAGCACCTGTATAAAGGATGGCTTGCCAGGCTAAACCAGCAGATAGGTGTAGGAGACTTTTCACATTAAGCCTGCATTAAAAATTCAGTGACCAATTGTAATCCTAAATTACATTGAAAAACTGTTGTTTCAGTGTTCCACACCTTTAAGATATTCCTTCACACGCAGTTGACTTTTATCAGTGACCATAAAAAATGTATGCATTACTTTTGATAAATTGTGTTCAGACAACTTTTAAATGAGTGGTGTTTGTTCTTGCTCTTGATGGCCACGTTAAACCTTTCGGATGTTTATCCGCTTCATCATAATCTTTAGTAACTCAACAGATAACTAACAGGAGACTGTAGAACTGTGGGACTGGTAATCCAGCCAGTGATTCAGGTGTGTTGGAGCAGGTAAACGATTGGAACAAGCAGGCTATTGCTTTTTGAATACAAATGCAATCAGTGTTGTTGTTGGTTGGAGGAAATGAGTTGGTGCAGGGACCTTTTGAACTAAACTACATCTACTATGCTATCAGATGAAAACTTGCATTTCTCTTCAGATCTTGATGAAAATGTTTGATTATTTTTCTTTGTTTGTGACTGAACTGAGGCTTCATTAGTCGTACTTATAATCAAAAACAACGGCTGCTACACAGTTACTCAACTCTTGTTGTAAAACACGCAGAAAAGCACTTGAACAAACAGTGAAGGGGCTGCAGGAGGGGTGTCAAATTAAAGAAAACCTGAGTCAGAAAGATTTGGATCATTCTTTTCTTCTTCATCATCCACTAACGGGAACAGTTCCCCCTCCTCTAAACACCCCCAACCCCCACTTCTCTCCCACCCCCGTCACTAATGTTATAGACGACGTAGTCAGGACTTTAATATGCGCTCTACTTTTTTACATGCTGCACGTATCGACCATTGATTTTTTTAAGTGCCTTTTAATAGTACAACACTCATTACACATCTAATGTGTAACCGTGTGACACACCAGCTCAGCCTGTCCGAGCAAACCAGTGAGGACAAGCGTGCACACACCAAGTGCAAGAGCGCCCCCTTCAGTAAGGCCAGAGCAGCTTCTTTCAGACAGGAGAGAAACTCGGCACTCAGAACTCAACCACACAAATGGACCAAGCACACGCAAAGCAGATTCCCACACCGCCCACCCATCCTGGCTGCATAGTAGAGCTGTTACTCAACAACGTCTCTGACTGGTTAAAGAGCTCATCTCACACCCTGCCAACACAAAGCCCCCCAGCTCACACCCCCACCCCAACCTTCATCTGACCACTTGGCCCTGAGAAGCCATCAAGGGAGTTTGGGCCAGCCATGTTGCTGCAGGAGTGTGTGGTGGGGGGAGGTTGCTGGGTGGGCAAACAGCCAAATGAAAACCATGTTTCATCCACACTTGTCAAGAGTCTCTAAGACTTCCAAGAACACACACAGATGCACAGGCTAGTGTGCAAACATGTACAGATGCTTGTGCGTACACATCCGCAGACACAAACACACTCGGCACTGCTCGCAAATGTCCCGGTCAAATGACACTTACGGTATTTCAGCCATTGCAGGCATCTGTGAATGCATGATTTGTGTAATCGTGGTTTTTTTAATGCATCATCTAATGCAGGGAGGGTGCGTTAGCTACAGATAAAGACGTGTTTTCCCAGAAACGGCCGACTGTCGTGCATTTAGACCAACAGCTTCAGTCTACTAATTCATAAGTGTTCAATAACAACTTGTGCAAACAAAGGTTTTATTTAAGAAATATGTTGTTTTTTTTTCCAACACTTAGTGTTTTAGATCCAACTGAGCTTTTCTTGGGCTGGGATGTGTTTGCAAGTCTAGCGTCTTGTTAAGGTGGCGGCCGTCCCAGTGTGAGCCCACTGCTCTCCATCTAGCCCCAGCCCAAGGTCTGGAACAGATTACATCTGATATTAAACACATGGCAGCAGTTAGAAAGGAGAAAAGGCGAGAGAAGAGGGAAGAAATGGGAAAGAAAGAGACTAAAAAGAAAAGAGAAACAGAGTGAATTTGTCAACGAGGTCCCTCCCACCCTCCGTTTTTCTCTCCTCTGACCGTTTTCTCTCTTTGTCGCTTTCCCGGGAATCCCGTGCATATCGTGTCTGCATCTAACTTTTTTCTGCCATTTTAACCAACCTGCAAAGTGTTTGTGTCTCTGATAGGGTTACAAAGAAGCTTGAAGTCTGAAACAAAGGACACTTTCAAGAAAAATTGCTATTATCCATTAATTTCATGATGAGACGTCTCTCTTTAATTCTGTTTTGTGAGGCTGCTCTTGCTTGTGGAACATGGTAATTGTCTTGGGCCTGATTCCTGTTGTTGCCATCCCTTTGGAGATGTGGATCAGTGTGTTTCATAGCCTAGCGGATAATGAGAGGAGGGAATGAGTTGTGTCCTGCGATGGCACCAAGGGGGTTGTCTTGGTCTCCAGACTGTTAGGCTCGACCTCAGCGCTGATTCGTCCTGAGAAATGTTGGCGCACAGACATCATTTAGGTGAATTGCTATCATTCCTAATGTGCCCTCTGGTAATAGTTTTTCTGTGAGGCGTCCCACATGGCGGTTCCCCTCCCTAACCATCAGGCCTCTCTATCAGTGAGACAAGCATTCAGTCACAACGTTATCGTTTGTTTGTTTGCTTTGTTTACACAACTACGATATTAAAAAGTAATCACACCTCACAAAACTCGTCTGCTGGATTGTTATATCTAACAGACCATCCACTGTGAGGCCACTGTGGGAGGCGATGCTGACCAGTAAACACAAGGAAGCTGTGATGGAAGTGCGTCGGCACCTTGTGGAGGCAGCCAGTCAGGAGAAGCTGCCAATCAAGATGAGCATGGGTAAGCTCTTTTCCCATTAAGCATTAAACAAAGCCACACAACTCACACAACTTTAAACACGAACACTTGCATCACATAAAAAGCTTCATATGCAGGAATTCCTATAAGGAGAATCACGTGCTGCGCTTTAGTGTTCTGGAGCAGTTCTATACAGCCAGCGTCCTACTGAGACCTCACTCCTCTGCCTTGCTCTGCATTTGCCCATGTGGCCTCAGAGGAAATCTGAACCACATGCTGGCTGCATGACACACACTCGTTCAAGCGCACATGCTCCCCTGCACACACACACACGCACACACAATTTTTTTCCCCAAAAAACTTTTGTTGTTTGCTAATGAAGCAAAGGGGGCTTAAGCAAGGGATAAAAATATGTGAAGGCACGCAAAAATAGAGCTGTTGCATGCATGTTCACCTTTGCACTACTACCCTCGTACTCACGCATGTGATGTGCGTAGTATGCATGCACACACACACATGCACACACACACAGGCGTAATATTCAGGTTAACATCTGGCCCCAAAGTGAGGGGAAGGGGGTGGTTCGGTCCCTCAGCTACTATAATTTGTGAGGTAAAGAAGGTCTACCCGTAATAGGCTGGTTGTAATATGCTGGAGGTCACACACATGTTTACATACACATGCACAATCTGTCAAACATCTGCATCGTGGTTTCTTTTCTCACCTTTAGGATAAACTGTGATCCTTTTCCTGGCCCATCGCTGCTATGCAGCAAGTTAGGACATAGAGTTTAGAAGTCAGAGGAAAGTCAAGAATCTATGAAAATGCAGAATTCCAACTGCTCCTGTCTGCTGGCTGACAGTTTGTTGATTTAATGTCTTTGCTAAAGTAGGGAAAAAGCGGGCACTGTAGCACCCTCACACAGAGCCTTTATACCCCACTGGCAGAGGACCAGGCTCCACCTCGCAGCTCCAAACCTGCACAACAGCTCAAACCCAGTTTAGCCCAGGAACACTTAGCTTCAGCACCCGACTGAGACCACTATTCCTCTCTAGTAGAAGAACATTCATCCTTTTACTTCTGAGCTTGCTCTCACCTCTTTGGGTGTTCGTAGGTCAGTAAAGAAAACCCTGAAATTCTTCGTTCTCATATACTCAAATACCTTCCCTGGCTTCCCACTAGTATAATATAAGACCATCCAGAGAAAACGGTCATTTTCCCAGAGTCTGAATGTGACCTGTCGAGAGTCCTCTCAGTGAAACGGGATGATGAAATCCACCCACATATGCTTTTGTATCCTGTTTGTTTTGGGTGATGATATTAATCACCAAATTGCATGGGACAGTTTAAATGGTCAGAAACAGACTCCATGAGGGGGGTATGATGGCCCGACATCTACAGGTGGTTTTTTTTATACAGCCCAATGCCTTGCAGAGCACCAGGCATTAGCCAGAAAGCACCGAGACTGGCAGGTTCACCACTGGCCCCCTGTACTCCACAGATGAAAGCAGATTCTCACTAAGCACATGTAACAGACGTGACTAAAGTCTGGAGATGCTGTGGAGAATGTTCTGCTTCCTGCAACATCCTTAAAGATTAAAGTCCCATAGTTGTCACACACTGGTGTGGTGCGGTGAAAATTGTCCTGTATTTGACCCATCTCCATGGGGAGCGGTGACCTGCAGACACGGCCGCTCTCAGGAACTATTTGGTGGTGGTCCAGCATGACCAGTTTGGCAGTGGGTCAGTAATGGGCTGGGGTGGCAATTGTTTGGGAGGGCGCACAGCCCTGCATGTGCTCACCAGAGGTAGCCTGATTGCCATTAGATCCCAAGATGAGATCCTCAGACCCCTTGTGAGAGCATATGCTGGTGTGGTCGGCCTTGTGTTCCTCCAATGACACTGCTAGACCTCATGTGGCTGGAGTGTGTCAGCAGTTCCTGCAAGACGAAGGCATTGATGCTACGGAGTGGCCTGCCCCTTCCCCAGACCTGAACGTAGTTGAGGACATCTGGGACATCTTGTCTCGCTCCATCCACCAATGCCACATTTCACTACAGGCTGTCCAGAAGTTAGCAGATGCTTTAGTTCAGGTCTAGGAGATCATTCAGGAGACTATCCACCACCTCATCAGGAGCATACACAGACCTTCATAAAGGCAGTTGGAGGCCACACACACTACTGAGCCTCATTTTGACGTGTCTCAAGGACATTACATCAACGTTGGATCAGCCTGTAGTGCAGGGGCGTCGAACTCAGATTCACTCTGGGCCAAAATGAAAAACTGGGATGCAGTCGTGGGCCAGACTCAATATTTATTAAAAAGTGACAGCACATGTGCACATTTTCCTTTTACAGATAAGAACGGTTGAACCTTTTCATTTGGAAACAAACTTATTTTTGCAGTAACACTGAATGTGGAATAACCAAATTACACGCGAGCAAGTCCATTTTAAATAAAGCACACATCCGTGGTATTCGTTACTTACGTCTCAATTATTTTTATATGTTATTCCTTAAAATCTTCTTATTTTTTATCTTTTGAATCTTTTAAGTGTTTCTATTTCATGTTTTCTTGTTTTTTATTTGTTATTTTTTACTCTCCTTTGTTGCTCCTGTAATGAATGTTATTGCTGCTGTGACACCACGCTTTCCCCACTGAGGGACAATTAAGGCATTTTCTATTTTATTTCTATTCTATTCTTCTATCGGTAATCGTTCCTGTTTTAAAGTAGGTGAAGTCCTTTTTCACAGGCCAACAACATAAATAAAAATAGTAATTCTCTTAAATGTAACTGCAATATCTCACCTATTAACTTTCATGCTTTGGAGCAGAAAAGGTTAATAAAAGCAAAATAATTCAATCCCAGTTTTCTCCACTCTGACTTCCTGTGATGCTCACCTGTTCCAGCCAGACCTGCATCTGTGGGGTTGGGCTCTGAGCCGAGGAGGAAGAAGAAGAAAATATCATTTCTATAGCGCCTCTCAAGATAAAAATCACGAGGTGCTTCACAAAAACAAAAAATGTTAAAATATAAAATAGCATTTAGAAAATGTTTAAAAATATATTTAAAATGGGCAAAAATAGGCAATTGGGATTTAAAAGAAAAAATGATAAGAAGGAGAGAGAGTGAATAGGAAAGAGGGAAACCAGTGGATCCTGAGGAAGGTGGAATAGGTGGGGAGAGCAGAATAAAGAGAGAGAGGTGAAGAAGGTCATACAAAAGCCAGCTTGAACAAGTGAGTCTTCAGCTGCTTTTTAAAGGAGACCACTGAGTCCACTGATCTCAGGCTCAGGGGGAGAGAGTTCCAGAGTCTGGGGGCCACAGCAGCAGATGATCTGTCACCTTTGACCTTTAGCCTGGTGCTGCACAACCAGTAGGCTTTGGTCACTGGACCTCAGGGACCTGCTGGGGGTGTAGGGACTAAGAAGATCACCAATGTAAGATGGTGCTTGAAGGAGTTCATCAGTGAGAAACAGTTGCTCACACCGGTTTGTGCTGCTGGACATGAAGAGCATCTGGACCACACAGTTGTGTCGGAGAGGGGGATAAAAGCTGTAGCAGCCACAGACTTCTCTGTCTGGAAGTTGGTCGGTGCGCTTTCTCTTTCAGCAGCAAACAGATCACTGAGCTGTTAAAATCCATTTCTGGGCTTCAATGTCGGCTAATCACTGGGTAAACTCGGCGCTGAGTAAGAGGAGTGTTTTCAGTTTGTCCGAGGCAGAGGAGGTATCTCTACAGACACTGATGCTAATAGCATGGACGCTAATGACTGTAAAGACATACCGGTTTTTCTCCTTGAAGCATCAACATGTTCCATCTTTGTTGAAACACCTTCCTTCTGCATCAGTCTTTCTCTTCCTGGACATGTTGGGATGATGTGTGGACAGTTATTTTCACTTGTTGCATTAACTAAACACGGAAGTGGATACAGTGTGACCTAGTGGCGAGTCACTGCACTGGGAACACAATCGCCATGCATTCTGGGAAATGTAGTTTATAGTCGATGTGCGCTGTGAAGCGGCATAGACCTATTTTAAAACACTTGAATCTCTCGTGGGCCACATAAAATGATGTGGTGGCCACATCTGTTCCTCGGGCCTTGCGTCTGACACGTGCTGTAGTGTGTTTTTCCACTTAAGTTTTGAGCGTGACTCCAAATCCAGACCTCATGTGTTGATAAATTAGATTTACGTTAATAATTTTTGTGTGATCTTGTTGTTAGCACACTCAACTAAAGAGAAAAGTCACATTGGTCCAAACCAGGGGTAGTCACACTTTTCACCTTGTGAACTACCTTTACACCAGTTCAAAGTGATCACAACATTATCAAACAATAGTTTTACTAGTTTTATGAAGATAAACCTCAACGCTTTATTTAATTTTTCAGATGTAAACCATCAGATTGAACTTCCAGTTTTATTCATTCACTCGAACATTTAGGAATAGTGATTTTGAAATACGTTGGCCATCTTTTTGGTAACATGTAGCCCAGAGTCATTCCAATCTGTGGTTCAAATGTCCCAGACAAAAAAGCACGTGGGTCCTCCAGCAGTGCACTCCTCGGTCCCCATTTCTTTTCAAAGAATTTCCTAATTTGTTTAATCTGGTAGAAAATGTCATAACCATAATTTTCCTATCTCTTGTCTGTTACCATCAAATTTATCCCTCAAGTTTATTCTCACCTGTTTTCTTCCTGTATAGTTTTACTAAACGCCAAATAAGGATGAACTAACTTTTATCTTACATAAACTGTTTGTTTCTCTGAAGATGAACCACGGAAAAAACATCTAGAAACTGGAAATGATAAGAGGAATCTGACTCTCCAGTTGCCCTAATGTTGTATGAGAAGGGCCCCACTCAAAACATTTTCAGGACATTCCTGCATTTTTGGAGTGCATAAAATAATCTCCGGGCCTGCCTGTGTCCCTCGTGCTTGTAGAATAACTTATGAAGCTGTCCAGCTGCTGAAGCAGGTCACTACTCAGCTCAGACATTACTTACCCTCTACCTCACCCTGTGAACCTGATATTTGTCATC